AAAAAAAAAAAAAAAAAAAAAAAAAAAAAAAAAAAAAAAAAAAAAAAAAAAAAAAACCTCTCACTCACCCAAATTAGTGGATGTTATTAAAAGGAGTGTCGATGTCATAAACAAAAAGGAAGAGAGTCATATGCACGCTGAAAAACACTAGATTGTCTCTCCATCAAGCCAAATTAACCAAAGGTGTGAATTTGTGAACCCACGCTAATGTTTCACTCCATTCTTGTCCATATAAGTGATTCGAGAACAAAACATGAAGCACGGATACTTTTATTCACTTCCTAAACTTTCTAGTTTGTGTTCAATAAGTATTATGTTTTCAATTTTGTGTCCGGTAAGTTCTTTGATTTATCAAATATTTTAAAATTTATATGAACCTACTAGAATTCTAATGTGAAATTCCAATTTTGCCCTTTTGGTTCATACGGGAGAAAACACTAAAATACGAGCGAAATTTCAATATCAAGGGAACCTTATGGGGCGTTGAAATTGGAAAACAAGACCGAGGAGAGCTCGTGTGCAGCCAGAAAGACATCAAGTTGGGCTAAAGTAACTTGGTAGGTGAGGTAATATATCACTGTCCTCCATTCTCTAGTTGACATGTGTAAAGTTTTAAGCTTCAAAGTGTATATACGTAACCGTATCACGTCCCTTTGCCTCATTAGCTCGACTACGACGTCGTTTACTGAAAATGACTTGACAATTTATTTCCCTCTCATTATTCTCACAAAAGTAAAAGAGCAAAAACGAACAATAAAGTTATTTATTTATTTCTTTCTCCTCTTCTTTCGCTTTATAATAATGTGATCCAGAAGAAATAAACCTTACAATTTCCAAAAATAAATTTGGGTTAAACTACACTTTTAATTTAATTCTTATAATTTTGTTAATTTCTGTACATTAATTAGGTCGTTATTTAATTTAATTACGTGACAGCTTAAATTTATTAAAATTAATGAACATAGGATAATTAAATAAAATTTAATAAAATTGAATTTAGGATATGCTTTTTTTTCTTTAAAAAAATCATTAATCAGTTGAAAAAAAAGGAAGGATCAATGTCGGTGGCTTTAATATAATATAAGAATATATATGGCCTAAACCTTCTTATTCTCTATTTTTTTATTCTTTTTTTTAATTAATTAATTAATCAACTTTATAAATAATTAAAGAAAATTATCTCGAGGTTGAGTTGCTGTCACGCTCTTCATAGTCACTTTATGAATCTAATCCGAATAAAAAAAAAGAAAATTGATGAAATCTTTATTCACAAGTTTTTGCAATGGAATTATAATAAATCATTATTACTACAATTAATAAATTTTTTTTTGTCATTATTTTGCAAGCAAACTTAATTCGCCTTCCTACTCATATTTCATCATTTCTTTTTTATTTTATGATCCATAATAATTACAAAGAGTAAATTTACCTAACATCTCCGTGAAATAATAATATTAATTATTCAAATTTATGAGTTCAAAAAGTTCGTTCAACCAAACCAAACTTGATTTGAGTTGGATTCAAATAAATGAAAATTTTATGGATTAAATTAATTCATGAAGTTATTATTTTTAAGGTGTTTTTAATTTCATAATTTCTTTTACTATTTATTTTCTAACTATTCTTAAAAATAATTTTTAATATCTTTCCGTTAAAATTGAATTACAAATTTTAATAAAATGTTTGAAAATGAATAAATATATGTCTTACAAACTACTCGTTTATGTTTATTAAAAATAAAAATTTGAATAAATATCTCGAACAATCAAAACCGATCCAACTGAAAAAATGTATGGTTGGGTGGGTTGAGTTGATTTTTTAAATAAGGATTGTGTGGGTTGAAAATTTTCAGACCATACAATTAAATTGGGTCTAAAAACGTCATAACTGGATCCAACCCAACATTGGATTCGAGGCTTTTTCTATTTGAAATCTTCCCAAATTTTATAATTACAAATATTACTTAAAACCTATTGTTAATTAAAATTTACGAGTTCTTTTTATATATATATATATATATTCCTTTCCTAGAGTCTTGTTCATAATGATTAGACATTGGGCATGAATGCTATAACATAAGGTTTTGTATATTGATTAATTAATCGCAAAGATTTTTGTCACATAATTTGTGAATAAGGATAAGTAGGTGCACCAAAAAATAAAAAAAAATAAAAAATAAAAAATAATTGTAGTGCAATTTAAGTGTACTTATTATCTAATTTTAATTTATGCAGAGTATTGGTGAATTGGATTAGATTGACAAACTTCTGATCTAAAATTCAATTGAATAAAATTAAGATTCTAAAAATAAAATATTTATTTATTTATTTTCATATTTAATTAAATTTAGCAACTAGATTAATGTATATTTTGGAAAATTGGAGAATAAATAATAAAAAAAATAATTGTAAAATCAAATAAAAATAAAAATAAAATAAATAGGTGTATATAACTGTAGGTAAGATTGTCTATTTTAAAATTAACAGTGAATTGGAGTTTGACAGAAATTCATGAACTTTATAAAATTTTGATTTATTGAACTCAATTGTCACGGTTTTTCGGTTAACTAATTTTTTTAACACTCTGTTTATTTTTTTTTTTATTAGGTAAAAAATTCGAATCCATGACCTTTTAATCCAAAAATTCTTAATAATTATTAGAAGTGGGTGTTGTTCGTGGGAAAATGATTTTTGAATATTTTTAAATATATATTTGCATTGGAGGACAACTTAATTGATTTACAAATAAATAGAATTAAAGAATCAATAAAGTTGTCAAACATATAATAATTTCAATATTTTTCCCAAACAAAAACAGTGCTCACAAATTGAATGCTATGAATTAAAAAAGAGAAAAATGGAATAATTCATCGACAATTTGTTTGGATATATTGACATTTGTAAAGTCAACTAGTAAAAAAAAAAAAAAGAAATTTGGTGGTTTTTGGAAAGAAAGTCAATGGCCTATAATTCTTTTTAGAAGAAAAAAAAAAGGGTTTTGGGCCACACACTTTAGTATTGCATTTATCCCATTTGGATCTTTATTTTTCTTTTTCACGACCCACAATAAACAATAAATTATAATTTTAAATTTATGATAATTTAATCTTTAAATTTTAAAATTGAATAATCAAATCCTCAACGTTCAAATAGTATAATCATTACGAGTTTTTGTATATAATATATAATATAGAGAATAATATTTTTATGGTGTGAAGAGTAAAATATGGGAAAATAATAAATGAGAAAAAAACGAGAGTGGCAATACAAAGGGAAGTGGAGACAAGCATAGGACAGGGCATTGAAAATGAGACAATGGCATGTGTTCCATTGGCCTTCATCATTTTCTCGAGTGGATTATACGCTCTTTCGTACCATGATTTAATGGAAAAAAGTACGTGTTAATTACTATTCCGTTATACCGACTTTTTGTAAGAGCCCACCGCCAACCTTCCATAAGAGCTCAAGCATGAACCTTCCGACCTTCTGTCTGTTAAACGTAAAATAAATCATATCTGTATATACTAAGATAATCTAGGATTTACTAGTTTTTTACCAAATCTATGATTTCATGGTTTATCAAATCATAGATTTGGAATGTAATCTTCATTATACACATCTATAAATAAGGTCGTGACTCATATAGGTCATTGTGCCATTCAATCTAACACTGTCAAACCACAACTAGTAAATAAGTGGGGATCTCACATCTCCGCTCTTTCTTCCCTTTTAATTACATCTATATTGATCACCGTAAAACCCAAGCCTTATAGCAAACAAAGCTATTGTTTTTCACTAGAGAATACGACCGATAGATAGATTATGGGTCGGTTTGCAATCACATTTCATAAATTTACTAGTCACAAGCTACAACTAACTCTGTATCATATAATAAGAACAAGATCAAGCATCATTTTAGGCAGAGGTCCAAGTTTAAGTGCAAAGGCTGAGCCCTTATCCCCTCCATAAAGACCATATTCATCTCCAAGGTCGTCGTCATCAAGCACAAGTACAAGCACGTTTACTTAGTTTCTAAAGTAACAATGATAAGATTTTGCTGATAATGTTGCTGCTACATCTTCCATTTGTAAACAAAAGCTTTTTCTGTACAGTATGGTTTCCAAGATACATCTTAGTTTCAGCCAATACATTTCGCTTTATAACTCTGTATTCCTCCTCGAATTCCCGTCTTCTTCTTATTCTTCTTCGCTCGTGCTCCCGTCTCTCCATTGTAACGGAACAGACACTGCAACAAGTTCCAAATCCAACTACTCCAACAAGATTGGTGACTCTACACTCCCTGCCGCTCTCTGTCCATTTCTTGCTTCATTTCTACTTTGCTGCACGAACAAAAATGGTCAAGCCCTTTTTCATGGTCCATGGAATCCACAAATAACTTCCCCATATGGGATTCGTTTCTTTTCAAGACCCACATCGAAAATTCACAGTTACGAAAGGAAGAACTAGCGAGAAAGAACTTCAATGTCTAAAAAGTAAGAAACGATCAATCCATTGTTAGGAATCACGACTCTCCACAATAGTATGATATTATCCACTTTGAGCATTGGTTCTCGTAGTTTTGCTTTTAGTTTGCTCAAAAGGCGTCGTACTAATGGAGATAGTATTCCTTACTTATAAACTCATGATCAACCCCTTAACAAATATATATGCCAATAAGAAGTGATCGATGAAGCCTTTCTACAAGCAAAAGTAGAGATTCTACATAGCTTAGCAGGTAAGCATGCAAAAGTTATAGCCCAGCCTTTTGCTATTATGATATCAAAATCAACAACTAGTTTGCCCTTCTTTTCATATTCCATTGGCATATCAGCAAATTCCAAAGCAAAGGTACAAAGGAAAAGAAAGGAATTGAATACCTGCGCCCTGAATGATTTGATTACATGTATCAACAGCTTGTCCCCCGCTATCTGCCTCACTCGCTTGATCAGCTCATGCCTCGATATCTTATGATCCTACAATTCAGAACATGAACAAAATGAGATACAACAAGAACAGCCTACATAAACAAACATAAGGGATCAAATTTTACATTACCCTGTGCTCTTTGTGATACTTGCTGATCATGGCAATTTCTGGAGAAGGTAAAAAGTTAGAGAGAACAGATATCAGAGCTGGGAATGGCATCCAAGGGGAGGTTGGCATTCTCGAAGGCTGTTTAGCCTCCTTCGATCGAGGAGGAGGAGGAGGAGGAGTTCTAAAACTGATTAGATACTCAGGCAAGATGTGTGTGTTCATGTGTGTGCTCCAAACTATGTATTTCCTTGGTGCAAAGAGATCATCAACGCCAGAATCAAACGCTTCAGAACTTGGATGATTCTGTCTAGAACCAGGATGAACAAGCTCTGTTTTCCCCAATATGACACGGCAGAGCAATAGATGCCGTAAGCCATCTTCATCAACAACAGTATCTTCCAGGCTGAAAATTTGAACAAACAATCAATCAAATGGGGTTAAGAATTCACAGTTTGAAAAAACAGGGAAGAACAAAATTGTAGATATTGAGTTTAATTCTGACCTTTCTAGAGGAAGAGCATCAGGGGATAGATAAACGCCACGGCCAAGAAACTGCGAACTCTCGGGCTTGTTGCAATGGGCAAAGCCATAGCCGAGAATGTTATTGATTTGATCCTTAGAAGCACCCAACCAAGCGTACTGGACATTGGCATTACCCCCATTTTTCTTCGCTATTGCTTGCGAGTAAATCTGAAAGGCGTGCAATCGGGCTTGCCCAATATGAGTCGAGTGGCTATTCTTGTAAACAGCCGAGACCGTGGTTTGCGGACCAAGTATTCCCAAACCATTAACGAATCTTCTCTCGATTAGGTCGTAAATCTTGTCTTGTTCCACAAGTTTAACCAAATCCCCATTGCGCCATTCCAATTGCTCCACACTCGGCCCTGAAATTCCGCTTTCAGAATCCGAAACCACCGACTCCTGATCGGGACCGTTAAAATCTCCGTCATCGGAGAAATCATGGTTTCCCGATGTCTTGGAAGCCATTAAAGGCTCAACTCCATTTTCAAGACGGTGATCGCTTCCAAATAGCTGAAACTGTAACCGACATTGATCCTGAATGTTCTCCATCGATTACAGACACAACGAACAAGAAAACAGAGTACTAAACAAAGAACCCAGATATCAAACTGGGCTATATAGAATCCGAAAACGATCACCGCCAATCAATGACGGTTCGAATCGCCAAATTACTGAAATATAAAACGAAAATCAAACAAACCCAGAACCCAATTCAAGAAAGAAAATCACAAAAACAGAGGAAGATCGAAAAACTAAATAGAACCCAGTAATCTTTTAGGAGAAGAAAAGAAACCCATCGCCGCCAATCCGAAGTCGGTGAACAAAAAAAACTTAACAGTCAAGAAACAAAACGGGTACGTATGAATCTGCAAACTGGTTACTCAAAAGGGATACTGAATTTGAATGCAATAAGATGAGAGTGGGAGAAGAATGAGAATAAGAAGGGCTGATGTTAAGAATGAGATAGAAAATATAATTGGGAAGGTGTGTATTATCATTGATATTGATATCCTTTAAATAGGATACAAGCCAGTACAAATGAGGAAAATATAAAATAATTAAATACTAGAATAAAATCAAATATACTCTAAATCAATTCATAAATGGAAGAATATTAAGATATAATATCTAGGATATATTCCATAAATAATATATCTCAACACTCCCCTCAAGTTGGAGAGTGTATGTTAATCACGTCCAACTTGTCTTTAACTTGTCTTTACGGTAGGTCAATAACACCCAAATGGTCTTTCACTCTTGTCTTCCCAGTAATGAAAATATCTGTCAAAAAATAGACCGCCTTTGATTGGTTTGCATTTTTAGACTTTCAAGAAATTATTGAATTTTCAAGAAAGATGCAAGACTCAGAAGTAGGCCGCCTTTGATCGGTTTGCATTTTTAGACTTTCAAGAAATTATTGAATTTTCAAGAAAGATGCAAGACTCAGAAATAGACCGCAATGATTGACTCGAGGATTGATAACTTGTCCATTTAATTTGATTTGGAACAAGTGAATATCCTCCCTGATCACTTGTTGGTCCATGCATAAATGCTTTAGTGGATAATGACACCAAGATCGGTGTTTTGGATCACTTGAGAGGCTGTGAAAGAAAATACGAACATCTTGAATATGTCACCTTAGAGCTTGGTGAGAAATTTGAAGATGCTTATAACGTATTCTTGATATTGGATGATTGACGATGATAAAGACTTCACTGATGGTTAGGGTTTGGCTTTAGGTTTAATACTCCCCTTGGACTCTGAGTCCAAGGGGGTATTAGGAATACCACGATCGGTGCTTTGATATTAGAATATCAAGATCGGTGCTCTGATACCATGTTAAGAATGAGATAGAAAATATAATTGGGAAGGTGTGTATTATCATTGATATTGATATCCTTTAAATAGGATACAAGCCAGTACAAATGAGGAAAATATAAAATAATTAAATACTAGAATAAAATCAAATATACTCTAAATCAATTCATAAATGGAAGAATATTAAGATATAATATCTAAGATATATTCCATAAATAATATATCTCAACAGCTGATCATAACTTGGAGAAGAGGATAAGGAAGAGCAGATTGGCAGTTATAAGAAGAAATTGGACGGTTTCAGAGGATTCTGATGGCGGTGCGCTACCAGTTTTTCTTCAACCCATCAGATTTTTTTTTTAAAAGCCCGTGCCAGAGAAGTGGCAATTCCGAAACTCAGTAGATATTTTTTTTTCTTTTTTTCTTTTCTCGAATTTTCTGATGCTTACGCAATTACCTTTATACCCTTGCCACGTGTCAAAGTTCCATCTTTTTAATTCTTATCCACTGTGGTTAAATCCAATTATTCTTTATAATTACAATTTGAGTTCAAATCTATCACGCATGTAAATAGTTTTAATAATTATTTAATTAAATTTTAAATACCTTAGATTTAAATAATACTTTTAATTTTAATTTTGTATTTATATATTAAAAGTTTCAGTAACTTTTTAGATATAAATTTAAAATTCTAAAAATAATAATAAAAGAGAAAGGTTGGGAAAGTTGGTAACCACATTTTTTTCATTAAATTATTGGGCTCTTATTATTTATCTTAGTAATAATAATAAATTAATAACAATTCCTATTACTTCCTTAAATAAAACTTGTAGATGGATTTGTAAATAATTCCCCCTTCCTACCATAAAAATTAGAATCTTTCACGTCGGACGAACTTATAAAAACTTGTAAACCATGTAAGTGATAACAAAATAAGCTAAAAAAATCTATGTTGGTTTGTGCGAATAGCTGTCTTCACTCCATGTCGTAAGAGATATAGGAGAACGTCTGCCAAATATGGAGTCTAAATCTTGGGTAAGGAGAGTTACAAGAAGACCTGTCTTATATTTGAGCCTCCCATAATAGACAAAGCAGATTTTATATCTCTCGATTCAATGAATCTCGAACATCATAAGGTGATCTTTGTAAATTTGAGCGTGCACGTGCATGAATTAAAATATAATTTAGTGTATATATCAAGTTGAAATTATTCTTTTGTGGAAGGTTAATTTGGGGAATTGGATGTATAGTCGACCAAAATGAGGTACGATGCCTTGGAGACAAAGAAACTACCATTTATGATATTACTTGTGAAATAAGTATTATTATTTAACAACCCATTATGAATAAACAAATAAATACTATATATCATAAATAACACCTTTATTATTCATATTAATTAATACACATGTTGGGTAACTTTTATTGATTATAATTGTATAATTAAATTGTTGAGCTAAGCTTATTCTAATTTTGAAAGGAAATAGAGTTATATTTATTTTCGGAACATGAAAATAATCCTTAAATATCTCGAATATTCTAAATAAAAATTTGATAAACATGAATTAAAATATATATATATATATATATATATATATATACCTTCTTGGAGCATTCATCAAAGCTTTCGGAGTGACTCAATTTCCACTTGGGAAAAGGAATATTGTTTTTAAAAAATAAAAAGGAAAATTAATTTATTCACATTATTCGCTTTCTTAACTTTGAATTTTTTTTATTTATTTTTATTTTTATTTTTATTTTTATTTTTTGGTCCCTCCCCTAAGCTTTTCTTACCAAACGCGTGCTTTGAATTTCATGGCTCTATTAAATGTTAGAATATTTAGATATATTTTTCAAAAGGCTAGAAAAATAATGCATTTTCTTAATAAATATTTTGCTGACTAATTATAAATAAAATTTATTTATTTATTATAAACCTAATTGTAGCTCAATTTTAGTTGTCGCTATTGATTGTTAGCACGTTTTTTAGTGATATATTTTTTTTTTCTGATTGATATTTGTATTTAATTTTTGTTTTTATGATACGGGATTATAATTTATAAAGATAAAGTGTACTTTAAAAGATTGTTTTTATATATCTTTTTTTAATTATTTTATTGAATCGTTTTGTTTTGAATTCTCTCACCTTCGTAGTTAAGAAAATGAATAGAACTTTTTTTTTTTTTTTTGCTGAATATTGATTTGTCAAACGATCGTGTGTTTAACTAAAAAAATTCTTTAAAAATTAAAAGTTCGAATCTTTTTTCAACTTTAAAAAGTACAGTTCATATTCATGTTTTGGTCGTATCATGCGAAACATATAGTGGGTTGATGATATATAAATCAACTAAAAAAGTTTAATAAAATAAAATATATAGAAACAAAATTGTGAATTTTATTTATCTAGTTTATTTTATTTTACTTTATTATTTAAAATTTAAAGAAATGGGCCGAAGGATATTGGGCCTCTGTAATGGGTTTTTTTGCATTGTGATGGACTTGGGCTTTCATTCTTGCTTTTCGAATGAAATGGGCCGAAGATATTGGGCCAATGTAATGGGCTTTTTGCATCGTGATGGACTTGGGCTTTCCTTCTTGCTTTGGAATGAAATGGGCCGAAGGATATTGGGCCTATGTAATGGGGTTTTTTGCATGGTGCTGGACTTGGGCTTTCCTTCTTGCTTTGGAATGAAATGGGCCGAAAGATATTGGGCCTGTGTAATGGGTTTTTTGCATCGTGCTGGACTTGGGCTTTCATTATTGCTTTTGAATGAAACGGGCCGAAGATATTGGGTCTATATAATGGGCTTTTTGCATGGTGCTGGACTTGGGCTTTCCTTCTTGCTTTTGAATGAAATGGGCCGAAGGATATTGGGCCTGTGTAATGGGTTTTTTGCATCGTGCTGGACTTGGGCTTTCATTATTGCTTTTGAATGAAACGGGCCGAAGATATTGGGTCTATGTAATGGGCTTTTTGCATGGTGCTGGACTTGGGCTTTCCTTCTTGCTTTTGAATGAAATGGGCCTATGTAATGGGTTTGTTGCATTGTGCTGGACTTGGGCTTTCCTTCTTGCTTTTGAATGAAATGGGCTGAAGGTATTGGGCCTATGTGATGGGTATAACCTGGTTCAGTTCAACAGAGTCTTAACAAAAAAAAAAAAAAAAAAAAAAAAAAAAAAAAAAAAAAAA